AGAAGCTTGTCCTACTTTTAATTCCCCATGTGAGACCCAACTCATATAACTTATAGTAACCCTTATAATAAATGTGTTTATGCACAGCATCCTGTTTTAAAAACTTTTATTTTCACATTCGACATAGGGATACCTAATTTTCCCATTATTAAAAAAATTTGGTAAAGAATAAGCATATCCAAAAATTCTTTTACACAATCACAAAAGTTTTAAGCAATGTATCTATTAACATCTAAACAAGAGTATACTAAAGAGCGATCATTGTCCATTATTGAATCTTAATTAAATTTAAAATATGAGCAATTAAAGTCATATAAAGTGTTAAATCTTTTTATTAATTGACCATATAAGCAATTATTGCTATACTAAACAAAATTACCTAAATGATAATATGAGATAATTATTGATCTATTTTAACAAATAGTCCATCAGTGACACAAAAAATATTGTAAAAATTCATCATACATGCTACAAGACAATACATTCACAACAAAATATTATTAGTTTTAATAACATAATTTTACCTTTGATTTTTGGCTTTTTAGTGCAATTCTGTCGATTTTGAGGAGATTTTTTTTTATCGAGGTATTTCTATATACGAACTTGTTCTACTTTTAAAGTAGGTGGAATGAAAAATATAACAAATTAGTATAATGAAAATGAATAAAAAATCATATTTATTACGAAATATATATCCACTTAAATCCACTTTCAAAACATGCATTCACGAATAGATTATGGAAAAAAAAAATAGAATAATTAATTTATTTATATTAATATTGATCAATATAATAAAACCAAAATATTTCAATAATTAGTAATATATAAATTTCACTAAACTATTAAATATATAAATTATTTGAAAATAAAAATAAATCTTATTTTACATCAAACTCAATTATAACATCAAATCAACATAAATAATTTTAATTTTTATAATTATTATTAAAATTTAAAAAATATTAAATATAAAATATCCATCAAAACATATATGAATCTTAATACACATCAACCCAAATTAAGCAATATAAATCTTATACATCTAAAAGTTAATAAATCTATAACAAAATTCAACAAATTTCAACAATACTTTCACAAATAAAAAAATTCCTTAACAATATTAAAAATAAACCAAAAAAATTTTACAATACTCAACAAAAAATCTAATAAAAATAAACTAAAGGTTTAACCCAACAAAAATTCAACAAATACATCACCAATAACCGAAACAAATTTTAATAAATTTATAACAAAAAATTAAATTTTAAATTAAAAAAATACTATACAAAATATATGATAAAAAAATATTTAATAAATAAACTTTATGTATCGATGGAAGGGGGCAATTTACCAACTACCTGACATAGGTGCACGATGGGGAGGGGACATCAACAGTGGGGAGAGAGGGAGGAGGAAAGTGGGAGAGGGGAAGAGGAGTAAGGGATTTTGGGGTTTAATTTGAGGAAAAGTAGGTTTGACCGACTCTTGAAGACGAGAGTTTAAAAAGAAATTTTTTTTTTATTGATGAAAATTTTGTCAATAAAATAAAAATTATTTTTTGTAAATTTTTTACTGATAAAATTTTTTTCCGTTAATTTTGTAGGAAATTTTTATTCATGAAAAATTTTATCGATAAAATTTATAGCAATTGATAACAGGGTATCACTTACAAAATATAGATGAAATTAAATCCGTTTGTAATTATCTAAGAAAAAATTTGATCAATAAAATTTTATTGGCATAAATTATAATTTTAGTAGCATTTGAAACAAATAATTTTTTTTAATATTATGAATAATTATTTAGGATATGATATTTTTTTCTCGCATAAATATTTAAATTTAGGATATAAGATTTGTTTATAAGTTAAATAATTTATCAAATATAAAAATTTGATAAATTATATAATTTACTAATACATATATATAGTAAATTTGATCACTTATCGAATATAAATATTTAAAAATTTTAAAAATAAAAAAATTAAATAATTTTATTTAAAAGTAATTTTTTAAAAAATATAAAAAAAATGTAAAAAGAAGCACCCTGTATTTTATTGTAAAGCCTAAGATAATAATTAAGACGAAGTAACACATGTGACAAGAGTTGAAATATTTGATCAAGTTTCTTTTTTTTTTTTTTTGTTTAAATTTAAGCAACTTGGCCGGCACGCGTGGTTTGTGAGATTCAAATTATTTTGTTGGAATTATAATTTTTATCAGTAAGTAGTTGAAGCATTAATTAAACGTGGAAACAGATTGTCAGAGCCAACTGTCTCAAAGGGGCCTTAGGGTCGGACCAAAGCAAATCTGCAGAAATAAAAGAGTACACTGTATACTCCAATAAAAACAAATCTATGTATTAGGCCACCAGTTTACTTAATAGAATTAGATAAATAAGACCAATTATTATTGGAATAATATCAAAATACTGTTTTTTAGTTTCCGATTTTAATTGAATTATCATCTATAATTATATCAAATAATAAGATCGTTTGTATTGGTATAAACAATTTTGAAATTAAATTAAGCATAGATTCGAGAAAATAATCATTATAAATTCAAATTTTAATTTAATTAATTTATGTTATCAATTTTTAAAAATAATATTCAAAAAATATAATGGTTTTTTTTTTTTTTAACATCCAACTACTCTAATACTCTCACCCATTTTTCCTATATGGTCCTACAAGCTTTGGCCTTAGTCCTTCACCACTACTTGAGGTAGCTGTGGCCTTAAAGATTTCCACTATTTTTATTGGTACAAAACAGGAAGCTTTCATAAATTAGAAGATAGCACCGTACACATAATCACATGCGGTATCAACACATGACAGGTCTTTAATTGGAAAATAACAAGGTCCTTCACTACTACTTGAGCTAGCTGTGGCCTTAAAGATTTCCACCCTTCTTATTGGTACGATACCATTTTTTTTTGGTACAAAACAGGAAGCTTTCATAAATTAGAAGATAGCACCGTACACATAATCACATGCGGTATCAGCACATGACGGGTCTTTGATTGGAAAATAACAAAGGAGACCAAATAACACAAAGTTCTACTACAGAGATTCGCACCCGCATCCATTCCCTTCTCTGAAAACATGCATCATGTTCTGATTGTGAAACTCCCCCGGAGCTTTCGGCAGTAAAAAATAAATAAATAAATAAAATGTAATCGATTTGAATTAAGTTGATATAATAAAAAATTTAAATTTAAGTTTAATTTTGAGTTTGAATTTTAATTCATAGTTCGATATTTAATTTAAATTCGATTAAATTTTATTTTTTTAATTTGAATTCGAGTCATGATTAAAATTGAATTATTCAAACTTACTTGATTAAATTTGATTAATATGTAAAAATAAGTTCGATTTTTAAACTCGATAAAAACTCGATTAGTTATGTTCGAATTCAAACTCGAATTCGAAATATTTTATTAATTAAAATAATAAAAAATATTTAAATATAAAAGTTTGATTAAATTTATTAGTTACTCGAATTAAGTATAAAAATATTCGAATTCGATTCGATCAATGAGTCGAACTATTCGAACTCATGTTCGATTCGATAATAATAAAATTGAATTCAAATTTTATTCGAATCGAATCTGAATAATTTATTAATATTAATATATTATTTACATTTTTAATCAAAAATAAAAGTTTAATACGTATATAGGGTTAGACATATTTTGGTTCTTAACCATAAAAATAACGATAGAAGCATCACGCTCAATTTCCAGGCTTTAGATACTCAGGTTTCTAACTAACGCTAAACCATCCCTTAGAGCCCAGATTCCTTAATCGCTATCCCAATGAAAGAAGTAAAGGAAACTGTTAGACACACAGTGACACAAGAAGTCAATCTGATATTATATATATAGGAGTCAATCTGATATTATATATATATATATATAAATTTGTTTTTATATATTGTTTGTGTAATTTTTTTAATTTTATAAGCGAAATTAAGAGGTTCAAATTATATCAAATAATTTTAGTTAATTAAGTATTTATTTATAATAATATTTTTATATTAAATACAATAATTAATAATTAATATTATGAATTTAATGTATTAAAATAGAAATGTTTCTGGACTTAACCCGATCAACTTTTTAAAATTTTTATTGAAACTCCAATTTGATTCATAAAATTAAATAAATTTATTTTTATATATTAAAATATTTTTAAAAAATTATTAAAATATTAATATTTTATGCCACATTCATGAGTTGGACGAATAGTTCTATTTGTGAATATATTTATATTAAAAAAATTATTTAATATAATAACTTTAAAAACTAACTTTAAGATATTTGTTTTTTTTTCCAAAAAAATTGATAGAATAAATTTAGCATTAGTTCCAATATCATTTGCAAGAGACGTCAATTCTAGCAGAATCAATTCAAACGGCCAAATATCTAAGGTTATGTAGGCTATATTAATACTTTTCATCTTTCAAATCACAATAAATAAAAAGTTTTTCCATTTGACCAAAACAACGTAATGAAAAAGTTGAACCAACAGTAAAAACCAAGACCAAGTCATGAAACAAGATCATAAATGGGATCAAATTATGAAGAAATAATTACATATAAATTCTCAAAAGATTTCTTTTAGAATGGAAATAGAAATAATATTTAAATCCCTAAAAATATTTTATTCTTCTTGTGCACATGTTACATATTCCTGGGAAATTAGATATGAAGTTTGGATTATCTTTTTTGGGGACAATAAAGCCCCACTATATATGCTAGTCATGAAAAGTGCCTTTTTATCTATTTTCTAATATCAATATCTGATTTGGATATTGCCGATTCCCTGGATAGTTAACTTTTGTCCTGTAAAGACCCTGTAAAGTTGAATAAAAGAAAGAATCATCAAGGAAAAAGAATCAAGAAAAGAAAAGCAAAAAAGGGTGATGAGCTGGATGTGTATCTATTTGATACCCTGTTGAAGGTTTCCAAGCTGGGTTGTAAGGATTAAAGGATAGCATCATCTCAGCTAAAATTAGCTTTCCATGAGAATATCTTTTCACATTTGTTAACCAATTTAATTAATAGCAGAAGCTTATAATCAACCAGGTTAATTTAAGTGAGTTACATATTCCATATACTGAAAAATAGAAAAGTTAATAATTTAAGCTACAAGTTTTCCATTTCCAAAGGAAACATACAGTTGCTTGAACCAATACAGTGCTCAGCTACTCATAAATGCAGGTAGCATAACCTGCACAAACACCCAAAGAACATAGATTTTAGCACATTTACATATCACATGACAATCACTTAATACATTAGATTAAAAGAAGTAAAGTTTTATTGAAGATGAAAAAAATGACAACATTCTCTAGATCCATCATTTAAGGCCTTGGGTTCGATTTCCTGTTTTATTAGATAACTTCAAGATTAATATCAATAATGACCTTTTCACTCTTTGGAGTTTTCTCTAGATCTCAGTTTTGAAGTTCAAGACCACAAAACTAGTTGATATAATAAAGTCCCTGAATCCTATTGCATTTTTCTAACTGAAATGAAGGATTTGGATAGTCCCCACTTCAGAGTTTAGTATGGTATTTCTTTTTCTTTTCTTGTTTTGTATCATATTCAGAATTTCAGATAATATTCAAGATTCAAGATTGTCATGTATTGAATTAAGATTACTGAAATTAAGAATTCAATATTCTAACCAATAGAATTTCAGATAATAATAAATTATGGGTGCATTGGAAAGAACTACTTAAGGAACATAAACAAAATCATGTCCTTAGCCACAAATGGGAGTCATTTTTATGATTCTATCTTTTACTGAATGAGACTTACTTGGATTAGTGACGACAATGAGACCAGAGCCTTTGAAATCACAATTCCACGTGTTTCTTCCCTTGGATTGGTAGTAAAGATTCATGGCAATGGAAGCATGGTTCATCAGATTATCAGGACTGAAGCAAGGACAACCCCTTTGCAAAACACGGCAATCCACTTGAGAGCATGCATAGTTAATGTTTGCCAGAAGAGTTGCCTGGTCTGATGATGGCTTAGCCACACACCAAGTTTTCTGCATTTCCATTTGCAAAATTTGCAATCAATAAGAAAACAATAGTTGACCTTAGTTTTTGAGTTTACAGGGCCCAAAAACTTGATGTAATTACCTGTCCATTGACCATCATTCGAAGTTCCTCCTAGCAAAAGAATGAGAATCAAACCAAAAGAAAATTGAATGTAGTTAGAGTCATAAAACAAACCAAACCAAGATCTGAGGAACCAAAAAAATGTCGTAAAAAACAGTTAATGCTGAGATAGGACTACTTATTAGAAACCCAAGTCAGATTAAGACTAAACCAACAACTTAAGCAAGGAAATTAATTGAAGTAGTTAAACTCAGATAGAATTCAATTACATTCATGAAAATCTTGCAAAGACCCAAAAGAAAGTAAAGAGAAGTGAAACTGTGAAGTTTGTAAAATGAACCTTTTTTAACTTGTACTTTAGTAATGAATATGAAACCTAGGTAGGAAAGAACTAAACTACCTGAAATGAAGGACAAGAGCAGGAAAAACAGAGAGAGTGCTGCCACTTTAGCCATTGAAAGCTTGTACTAAAGAATATGAAAATGACTATTGTGAACTGAAAACGAATGATGGGAGTAGTAATTGAAGTTGTTTGATTTGAGGAAAGCAAAGAAAAGCTGCGGCCCTTTTAAGGTAGTGGGAGAGTAAAGATCAGAAAAGTCAGTCTAACGGCTACATTGTTTGAAGAGCCGTTTAGGTTGGAATAGGGACCATCTCTCGCAGAAAATGGATAGAGGAAAGGACAGAAATGGTGGGGACCAACTGCTTACTTTCATGGTTTTGCTTTCTAATTGGTTCATTCTTAAAATTTAGTTTCAATTTGTTTTCTGTTGTGGGATTTTGATTATTACACTTTTTGAGCAAAAGATGATTAGATTAAACAGACACAAATTGATTTATAGATCAAATTCACTGTTTTTGGAGGAATGTTAACATGTTAGCACTGCCTTTACCAAATTATTTTCCATTTTGTTGATGTAATGCAAAAACTATTGTGCAAATTTCGCGACATGTAATTTTTATGGTAACCTATTTTTTACTATTTAAATATTGATTTAATGTATTTAAAATTTTATTTTTAAAAGATTCTTTACAAGAATTGAATGAGAATTGACCATAAAAAGGAATTTGTTAGAGAACTTTCTGTTATATTTTCACATTTGTGGAATGTGGAGCCTCTTTTCAAGATAAACTTTAAATAAGTGGATTAAAGTGGAAATGCGACATTGGAACATTTGAATTGCTACGGTTTTAATTTTAAACACCCACCCTCTTTTCACCGAAAGCAAAAATGTGGCTTAATATTTTGGCATTGAAATTGGCAACTTGATCCTGGATCTGCCACCTTTTGACACTGAAAATTGCAACAAATGCTGATCTGGTGCCAGCTGTGTAGCATCGGGTTTAGCTTTCGACACTTTAAAATTAGGAAAGTTAATTTTATTTATATTTAACGAAATATTAATTTTTTATTTAAATAAAATTAGAAATAGATAGTATATTATTGATATAAAAATTAAAATAAATATAATTTTAAATTTTAATTAAATATAAGTATGAAAACAAATAATATAAAATCTGTCACGTGCTCATATTTTATATATATTTATATATAATTAATAAAATATATTTTTTATTAAATAATATAAATTATTATTTTAGATTAATTAAAATTAATATATTTTTATTAAAAAAATATTAATATATATTTTGTAAAAAATTATCTAAATATATAAATTAAAAGTAAAAAACAAAAAAATCATTTTTATTTTTATTTTTTTAAATTTATAAATATAAAAATTATTAATATCTTTTAAATATAAATAGTGGAGATAAATATAATATAAAAAATTTAAAAATAAAATAAAAAATATTTTATTTATCGCTACCTCAAAGTCGTTGATCATGCATGGGGTTGCTACATTTGATGGGCGTCAGATCTCTCAACTGGCATCAAATTTGACACCTGATGGCCAAACCGAAATGTTCACCGACGCACATTTGTCAATTCAATGCTGGCCAAAGAGCTTTGTTAAAAGCAAGCACCAGCCATGAAAATCGAACCCCAATTCTAAAGAGAAATAAGAAGTGTAGTAGATGAAAGAATAAGATAATAATACTGAGTATTAATTCGGTTAATTTTTTAAAAAATAATATTTAATAATTTTAAATTTTAAATTTTAAATTTCATTATTTTTTTTTTTTTATCTTTATATTGCAAATTCTTTGTACAATATTTTTATAACTA